AAAAATCCCGCGTAAACGAATTCGACATGTACATGTCGAATTTTACAGGTAAAAATCGACATTTAGATGTCGATTTTGAGGTATAAAATTCGACATTTGAATTTGTACTATAAATTCGACATGTCAATGTCGATTTTTACCTATGGAATTCGACGCTCAAGTGTCGATTTGTAGCATAGTTTTTCGACACCTTGGTGTCGATTTTTACCAGTTTCAAAATTAATTTGTTTTTTCTCTTTTTTTTTGGCAGATTTAGGTCACTCATGATTGTGCGTGGCGGGGCTCGCGGCGGCGGCGATCGGCGGCGGAGCTTGAGTGGCGGAGAAGGTAGGCGTAGGTAGGGTTGGGGGGGGCATTATTTGTATTTGGTCTTGCATAAGAAAAAAAAAAGCCAATTTAATTTATGGGCATATTTGTCATTCCATCTTCATAAAATAGAATCTTTTGGAATCTTTCTTTAATTTGGTTTTGCACAAGTGGAATGAGTATTGCATATAGGACCGGCAATTGAGCCGGGCCTACCCGAAGCCCGATAGCTCGGCCCGATTTTATTTGAGCCGAGCCCCATTAATTGTGAGCCGGTCCGAGTTTGAGCCGTTTTATTAAACCCGATTAAACTATGAGCCGAGTCTGAGCTTACCATGGCTCGACCCGAATAAAGCCCGACTATACATATATATATATATCTATATATCTATATATATATATATATATATTTGTTGTCCTTTTTTTTATTTTAGGTCTCAAGATTTTCGAAAAGAGTTAAGGACATTTAGAATTGCTTCTAGTTATTTTATTTTATGATTTTTTTTTTCATTTTGGCCTCGGATGCATTTTTTAGTATAATTAATTAAGGATTAAATATTTGCAATATTAAGCTTTATTTGTTTTAATGAACAGACTATGATTTTTTATTTATTTATTTATTTTTTAAGCTTATTTTGATTTTCAATGAATAGTCTAGATTTTTCGCTTAGACTGCGAAGTTTTTTTTTTTTTGTTTTTCTTTAATATGTCGACTGCAAAGTTGTAAAATATCTAATTTGTTTATTGTTCGATATAAGCCCGATATAAACCCGAAGCCTGAAAAAATGCGTGAGCCGAGTTTGAGCCTATAGGCATGAGGCCCGATGGTATTTGAGCTTGAGCCTATAATAATGAGGCCCGATGGTATATGAGCTTGAGCCGACCCAAACTCGGCTCACACGGCCCGATTGCCAGCCCTAATTGCATACAGCCGCAGCCTTAACTTAATGAATGTGAATAATATATATTCCAAACAATCAGAACTGCTTTCCTTTTCTGTTTTAAGGATAAATTTGAAATATTAAATATAGCACGCATATTAGGTGGTGTTGGTGTTTACAAAAGCTTATTTAAAAGCATAAGTTAGAACAATTATAATGGAGGAATTAAATAGAGTATAAAATAATAAAACTACCATTTTAATATTTCAAGACACAAACATCCTCCTCCAATGGAGGACATTAAATGAAAAGTTTGTTAATACTTTACCACATAAAGTTGCAAAAATGCACCGCAACAAAAACAAGAATCAAATATTCCTTAACATTAGTAACCACAGATCCAAAGGGGAAAAATTAAAATCTCAACAAATTCCTACAGAATAGGGAATACATATATCTAGTATTTTATTGAATTTTAATATTTTTTTATAAAAATACTACTAAACACTTTAGAAGAGATTATACTAGGGCTGGGACTTTGGGATCGGGATTCGGGATCCCGTCCCGTCCCGATTAGAATTTTACTATTTGGGATTAAAACTTCGGGAATTCGGGATTACGGGATTCGGAATCGGGATTAGGAACAAATACGGGATCGGGATTCGGGAATTGGTTCAATCCCGATCGGGATATTTTAATCCCGAATTAGGAAAAAAGAAAAAAAAAACTAATAAACACACACACACACACACACACACACACACACACACACATATATATATATATATATATATATATATATATATATATATATATATATATATATATATATATATATATATATATATATATATATATATATATATATATATATATATATATATATATATATATATATATATATATATATATATATATATATATATATATATATATATATATATATATATATATATATGTGTATATATATATATATGTATATATATATGTATATGTTTAATGTATAAAATAATACTAGTGGAAAAAAAAAAAAAATTTTGAGATATAACAATATAATATATCGTTTCAACTTATTTTTAAATTTTTCAAATTTCATTTGTTCCAAGTTTTGTGGTAAAAATAAATAGTGCAATAATAATAGTATGTATATAATATATTCAAGTTGGTTTAATGTATAAAATAATACTAATGGAAAAAAAAAAAAAATTCTTAGTTTTTAAGCAAAATATGGGATTCCCGATCCCAATCCCGAATTCCCGAAATATTTAGGGATACCGATATTACCGGGATTTAATATTATGGGACGGGATTGGGATTTAAAATTTCTATCCCGAATCCCGAAATCCCGATCCCGAAAATCCCGAATTCCCGAAATCCCCTCCCGAACTCACCCCTAGATTATACGATCTTAAACATTCTACAAGTTCTTTTTAAGAGCTTATAAGCTTCACCAAATACGATCTATGTACAGAAAGAAACTCATAATTTATTTTTAAAAACTTTTACAGACACTACCTTATTAATACACAAATAATTCATATTAATTGCGGTTTTTTCTCTTTAAAATAAGATAAAATAATTCATATTAGAATATGTCAGCACAAGCAACAAATCGAAGTGAAACAGTTTCATCCAAAAAGAGATCATTATGGGTAGATTTCCCTTTTGGTGCGGAATCATATTCATTTACCGATTCATATGGATAAGAATTAAACTTTCCATTTCTAATTAAAAAAAAATAAAAATTGGTAACTATTTTATTAAATGAAAATGTAGGAATTTGCTCAATAAAATCTGATGGGATGAGCATGTAATTAATAAAAAACGTTCATTGGATATAAATTTTGGAGCGATATACATTCAATTCAGCCCAACTGACTTCTCGCAACCAGATTTTCACTCTCTCTCTATCTCTCTCTCACACAAACACACACTCACCGATATAAACACACACACACTCACCGAAAGCAAGACTGTTTCCAGAGTGAATGCTATGCAAATGCAAGCTTTAACTTTCTCTCACCGGACTTTTCCAACGGTATCTCCGGCGTCGGTATCCGGATTTTCCGGCAGAAACCGAATTAATACAATCCAATGCCGTGCTTCAGAATCTCCGTCGCTAGGTCTGTGTATCTCTTTCTCTAAATTGCTGCATTCCCATGTTTTCATGTTTATTACACTTGATTAGCAGTACGGAACGTATGTTTGTGTGGTTGTGTTTTGAACGCCCATCATCATTAACTTTTAAAAATTGATGTTTTGTCACATTTGGAAATAAATTGAGATAAATTTAATCTGCTGAAAATTTATCTTTATTTAGGAGATTTAGTGTTTTTCCTTTTTTTTTTTGGCCTTTATTGGAAGGTAATGATGATTTTATTTCGACTTATGATTCGACTTTTTGTCATTTTTTTCGATTGCAGTGGTGGATGAAAAGCGGTTTATCGAAGCATCCGAAAAGGGGAATTTAATTCCTTTGTATAAATGCATATTCTCGGATCATTTGACACCTGTCCTAGCTTACCGTTGTTTAGTCAAAGAAGACGATAGAGAGGCTCCTAGCTTCCTCTTTGAATCCGTCGAACCTGGTTTTCGTTCATCATGTGTTGTAAGAATCAAACTTTCATGGCTATTTCCATATACATATATATATGTATGTATGTATGTATGTATGAATGATTGTAGATTCATGAGTTTTTATTGTTAAATTTTATTTTAGGGTCGATACAGTGTGGTTGGGGCACAACCGGCAGTGGAAATTGTAGCGAAAGAGAATAAGGTGACGATTCTTGATCACGGATCGGGTAAAATAATAGAGAAGTTTGTAGATGATCCAATGACAATTCCAAGAAGCATTTCCGAAGGTTGGAGACCACAACTAATACAAGACTTACCCGAAGCGTTTTGCGGTAAGTTCTTTAATATTTTATCCTGTTCACACTTTCTGATGTTTACAAGTTTCATGGCTTTATTATATTTTGACTGTATATCTTTTACCATTGAACGTATAATCATTCGCGTTGTTTAATATACACATGGTTTCTGCTGTTAAACCGATACACTCGAACATGAACTTCAGTAGTGATCTGATGGAAGATTTCGTCCACGTATTTTTCTGCATTTCTTATTCAAATTCGTTTGATCATAATATCTCCAACATTAAGCACAAGAACGGTCAATGATTCTTTACGAATAATTTTCTGAGATCATATGTACCTGATCAACTGTGATTAACTCGATATAAAATGATTCTTTACGAACGATCAAGCGATTCCTTTTTTTTTTTTTTTTTTTTTTTTGTTTTCACTATCAATTGTGTTGTTGGTCCGTAAATGAATAAATACAAAATAAAAGAGTCTCGTACATTTTTGCAACAGGTGGATGGGTTGGTTTCTTCTCATATGATACAGTTCGCTATGTCGAGAAGAAAAAGCTGCCATTCTCAAGTGCACCAATAGACGATCGAAACCTGCCTGACATTCATCTTGGACTGTACGATGATGTCATCATTTTTGATCAAGTAGACAAGGTACAGCTGTCTTGCTGAGAGTGAATATGCTGTCAATCTGCACATGTGGAATTTATCATCTATACACACTTCTCATCAGCCGAAAAATAATTGCACATGTCCTATACCTTTACTTCTAGTAGTTGAAAATAAATTGAATGCTCATTCATTCCTGTAGATAATTTTGTTTAATGATTGAGCATTCAAACGGGTTATAATAATAATATTAATAATTGACATGTCTGATATTCTCACTGCCAGTAGTTGATAAATTGAATGCCACTAATTCCTGCCGATAAATTAGATATTACAACTTCATATTATTACATATCCTGTTGTCTGCATGCCTTGTCTTATTACAATAACTGCGGGGTTTTTTTTTTTTTTTTCAGAAAGCATATGTCATTCACTGGGTGCGCTTAGATGAATATCCGTCTGCTAAAAAAGCTTACGAAGATGGAATAAATCGCTTGGAAACATTAGTTTCTAAAGTACAAGATATCGAGCCGTGAGTTTGCTTTTTTGTTATTCAGTTCATCGTCAAATTAATCTACGCGACAATGGCATTAGTTTGCTAACTATCCGTTTTTTTTGTTTTGGAATTATAGTCCAAGGCTATCTCCAGGTTACATTGATTTCTGCACTAGTGATTTCGGACGTTCGCTAGACGAGAGCAGCATGACACGAGAGGAATACATGAAAGCTGTTTTACAGGCGAAAGAGCATATTCTGGCAGGGGATATTTTTCAGATTGTCTTAAGTCAACGTTTCGAAAGGAGGACGTTTGCCGACCCGTTTGAAGTATACAGAGCTTTGAGAGTTGTGAATCCGAGTCCGTATATGAGTTATTTGCAGGTTCTTTTCTCTTTTTTCGAGAGTAAGATGTATTTTCTTAATCAGTTGCGTTGTGAGACGAGATATTATTTTATTCTGTTTCGATTCTTGCCAGGCTAGAGGCTGTATTATGGTTGCTTCGAGCCCGGAAATTCTTACTCGTTTAAACAAGGTAAAAGTCGGTTTCTGTGAATAATTTTTCGAATGATTTTGTTAATATGTATTTGCGCATGAATGTAATTGACAGAAAAAGATAGTGAATCGACCATTGGCTGGGACAGCTAGAAGAGGGAAGACAGTGCACGAGGATGAGATGTTAGAGATTAATCTGCTAAAAGACGAAAAGCAATGTGCAGAACATACTATGCTCGTTGATTTGGGCAGAAACGATGTTGGAAAGGTTTCTTCATACTGACTTTACAAGCTACCTGTGCTTTAAATTGAGTTATCTGATAATTTTAGGGCAATGTATTCAGTCTTCATCAAGGGGAAAGTTAGTGCTAGAAAACAAGCTTACGTGCTAGAAAAAAAGTTTGCGTGTTTTTCGATTTGGCTAAATTTAATGGTATACATTTGTTGGGTTCTCGATACAGGTTTCGAAATCTGGTTCTGTCAAAGTGGAAAAGCTCATGACTGTTGAACGATACTCCCATGTGATGCATATCAGCTCCACAGTAAGAATATGTTCAAAGTTGATTTTTTGAATTTGTTCGATTTGGAAGATATTTTCTTATCTCGCAATTCATGTTTCAAATTACGTTAAATTTTTTATGCATAAAAGGGTATGTGTTAGTGTAATATCATGATATATAAAATACTGTTTCTATTTGTGTAATGGAAATTTCAGCTTTTACTTTTATTCTATAACCGACCCAAAGCACCGCCACTGAAACATCATAATTATGAAGTATTTAATGGGAAATTATGCTGACAGGTCACAGGGGAGTTGCACGATCATCTAACCGGATGGGATGCACTGCGTGCTGCTTTGCCTGTAGGAACAGTTAGTGGAGCTCCAAAGGTAGTACCAATTCATCATTTTTTATCGATAAGTATTATACTAACTTTAATCTTAACTTCAAATTAATTGCACATCCACAAGTTCATGTCCTAAGCTAAAATGATACATGAGTTATAGTTGCTTTCTCTCTCTCTGGTCAAATAAGTTCTCTTTCGGCCCTATGCAATAATTGTAGGTGAAGGCGATGGAGTTGATAGATGAACTAGAAAGAACAAGAAGGGGACCGTACAGCGGTGGATTCGGAGGAGTATCGTTTGTCGGAGACATGGACATAGCATTGACTCTGAGAACAATAGTGTTCCCCACAGATGTGCGTTACGACACAATGTTTTCATACACCCATGGTAAGAAGAGGAGAGAATGGGTCGCACATCTCCAATCCGGAGCTGGAATTGTCGCCGATAGCGTTCCAGAAGACGAGCAGGTAGAGTGTGAACGCAAAGCTGCCGGTCTCTCCAGGGCCATTGATTTGGCTGAGTCAGCGTTTGTCAATAAAACCCGTGATCAGCCACCAAAGAGTATCAACTGTGGTGGCGGTGATGGTGGTGGTGCTGTTGCTGCTTCGCCACTCAAAATTCCTAGTGCGGAATTATTAGTACCGCAGAATGGATACTTGGGTGCCTGAATAAACTCTCAACAACAAGTTTTTCTAAGTTCAGAATATATACCAAAATTGCAGAAGTAATAATTAAAAACCAATGTGTTTTGAAGAGTGATTAACTTTTTTTTTTTTTAGTTTTTTTATTTTATTTTATTTTTATTTTCTTACCTTACCTTCAATTGCAAGTTATAATGTTTCGGTCACATATTCAGTGTCTATTCTATGCTACAATTGGTGAAATTCATCATATTGTTTTCCACCTTTTATTAACACACAGTTACAAACATATACATGTTAATGTATGTAAAATGTGCATGAATCTATATACGTGCATGATAAGATAAACAATCAAATGTTATAACATATAAGTTGGAATTCAAAATTCAAAATTGTCGAATAATCTTAAACGCATGATAAGATAAACAATCAAATGTTATAACATATAAGTTGGAATTCGAAATTCAAATTTGTCAAATAATCTTAAACATTCTAATTATATGTTTTCTAAATAATCTTAAACATTCTTGTGCTTGCCAATCTTACCATTTATAGGAACGTTTTACGAGTATTTAGTGAATGGGGATTGAGCAGAAATTTAAAAATAGTGAAGAAAAATAAAAAGAAGAGGAGTGGCTACAATTGGTTAAAATTAAATGTATGCGGGAATACATGAAAGTTCAATGGTTAAATCAACATCATTTCAAATTAAATTTCTCAAAGGTGAGCCACGTCCAAGAACTTTCACGAGCAAGAGTGTCTTAATTAGGGGTAAGCAAGTCGAATTAATTAACCCGTTGAACATGTCAAATTCAGTAAAAATCATTTGTTGGGACCGGACGGATGGATCTATCAATAGGATTGGGCCTGAAATGTACAAGATCCATGCAGGTTTACGTCTAAGACGGATTAAAAAAAAATCAATACCCGTCAAACTTGTCCAGCCCCACCGCACTAGTCATTTGATTTATATTATATAGTATAATAAAGTAATAACATATAATACATGAAATCATGATTAACGCATCTGCTAGTTTTGTCTATAGTTATCTATTTCATTTAAATCTTGTCTTATAAAGTTTTGAATTTAATTACTATTTTTAATGAATTTATGGTTAATACGTGTTAATTTTAATTTAGTCTTGACATTTTCTATTAATTTATTTTTATTATTTTTTTTAAGTTAAAGGGATCAGATTGGTTAAGGGCCCCATTGTCGTAACAGGCTAGGCAGACACCCCGTTAATTGCGAGTATTTACCACTCATCACATCGCATAAAAACTTGCTCGAAGGATCATTTTTGTTATTGATATTATTCATGCTGATTTCAATTTAACATTTTACGCTTAGTCATTCATATATAATTTCAGACAGTTCTTCGTAAACCCATAAATTATTATAAAAAAAAAAAAAACAAGTTTTTCAAATTATAATGGATTTTAAATTGTGAAAGTTGGGTCCCACTATGAACCGGCCATGGACTAAACTACCCTAGATATGCTGAAAATCCACAAGCTACGACTACAAAATTGTTTCGTAGTAAAAAGTTCATTTTATTACGGCTTTTTACCGTAGCAAACAATTTCTTAGTAAAAAACTAATTTTCTACTAGTGAAATCCCACCCAAAAGAAGTTTCGCCTTTAATCTCTTCCACAATTACATCCCAAAAATCACGCCTCCACTAACTCGAGAAAATCTCATCATCAACATACGTCTTCGTCAGTTATCAAACAAAAAAAAAAAAAAACACTTCTTCGTCAACACCGAGACGCACACCACAATGGCGGTTGAAGTTTTCTAAGTAAATTTGTTGAAAACCAAAGCCACTATTTTGCAGTGAAAATCACAAATAAATTGCCACTATTAAATATAGGGGTGGATTTTTTTTACCAAATTGCGCTACCAACCCGTCGCCATACCGAACCCAACCGATTCTCTACCGAAAATCCCACCGTACCGAAGTATTGGTATACCCAAGTTTTAAATAGGGCAATCGTAATAGAATTCATAATACGAAATTTCGGTAATAGTAGTGATTCGAGGGGTTTGGTACACTTGCCCTACCAAACCCACCCCTAATTAGATATGCTATAAAAATCAATTGTTTTTAGTGCACAACCACTATTTTGATAAACTATATAAACCACTTTTTTTAGGACAAACTATATAGCACACAACAAAATGCACTAATGTAATCAACATATATGAATGAATCTTTATTAAATAGAGAATCCCAATTTTTTTTTCCCTCAAAACCACACATTGCATACAAATCTCCTATTTGTTTGTTAAATCCACATGAACTGTATTGTAGTTCACAATTTGCACTGTAACTCAAAAGCCAGTGTGTATCAAACGTGTTATACATATATAAATTATTTATCAAATTAATCCAATTATGAAAATATGAAAACCACTCTAAATAATCCGAATAGTTTACAAAAGTATGAATTTAATTGCCTTTTAAAGGAAAAATGCAAAAAAAATATATTTTAGTCACCACTAGTGCGACGAATTTAGTTTTCTTCACAAGATTTAGGAAATTCATCACTTTGCGACGATTTTGTTTGTAGAAATGTAGCAACATTGCGAAAAAAATATGTTTGTCGCAATAAAAACATCACAAGTGTTGCAATTTGGCCTAGGGCTGCGCAGGGCCAGCTCTGGGGGTGGGGCGAGTAGGACCCACGCCCAGGGCTCAATTTCCAAGGTCCCCATTTTTACTATTTTTTTGTTTTATATATATACTTTTATTTTTTTTATGTGTAAATTTTTGTTTCTATTGTTAAAAAGAGTTATTCTTTTATTGTTCAATTTTTTTTTTTTCTATTTATAATTTTCAAAACTTAGTTTGAAAAATATATAATTTAAAATTTTTATTTTATTCAAACACAAATTATTGCATACTTCTCTAATGTTTGCTTTAATAAAAATGTTGAAATATGCATTTATGTTTCCAATAATTTATTGATAATGAGGTTTATAAATAAATATTTATTTATATTATGTCATTAAACTTAATATGCAAAAAAGAAAGAAAAAACATTGGGGCATTGCCCCGGAACCACATATTATTAACGGTACAATTTATAGTATCGCCCCGGACCCTCAAATACGCCAGACCGGCCCTGGTGATGCGCAAGTTACATGTTTGTATAGTAAAAGATCATCTTTCAATATCACTATTGTAACCCTAACTAAAAAATAATGTATATCTAGTTTTGATATTAAAAGACATATAATATATTTTTCATATATATCTTAAATAACACGTTCTTAACTAATCCCACAATTTCCGCTCATCGATTGTAGAATTATAATCCTCATAAATTTAATCTCTCTCTCTCTCTCTCTCTCTCTCTCTCTCTTTCTCTCTCTCTCTCTCTCTTGCAGACACGCGCACATACACACAACTACCATTATTTTCACACATATGCACAAGTTTCTCCGTTGTTGTGGCGTAAAAAAACAGAGATTCAAATACACAATTAAAAAAATAGAGAGCGATTCAAATACACAATTCAAATAAGCAATTCAAGTGCACAAGTTTCTCCATTGTTGTGGCGTCGAAAAATAGAGATTAAAATACACGCACACACAACTGCCATTATTTTCACACATACGCACAATTTCTCCATATTTAATTGATCTGAATGATGTCCTAATTTGATTTCGCCCAATTAGTGGAAACCCTATCGTATTTCCATACTTCTCAATTTTTTTCTTGATCGACTATGTTCAAGTTGATTTTAGCCTTCCCTATTTTACTCCCTGTCCGGCTAGACTTCTGCACATTGTTTTGCATGTGATCAAGATCCTAGGCGGTTCAATGCTTTGAGTATTTTGGTTCAGTGGAAGTTTGAATTGTAGTACAGAAAAGAACTTTCTATTATATTATATTAATTATTACTCGAACTATGTTCTAGGGTTTATTAGAGAGAAGATGGTGTCTTTTATAGTGGTTTTATAATTTTTTTTTGTTGAAATTTGATGTTTTTCTGTTAGAATTCATAGTGATTTTCCATATTTATATGATTGTGTATAGAGAGTGGTTTTAATGTTTATATAGTTTGTGTATACATAGTGGTTTTCATGTTGATATAGTTGTTTATAATAAGTGGTTTTCGTGTTTATATGGTTATTTATACATAGTGGTTTTCATGTTTATACAGAGGATTTTCATAATGTCAGGCTTTGTCTTCGATAAATTTATAGTGGTTTTCGTCTAGTTCGTAGTGGATTTCGATTAATTTATAGTGGTTCTCAACAAATTCATAGCGGATTTCGATAAGATTTATAGTGGATTACACTTTGATCAACTTGCAGGATTTTTTTTTAAATATAAAAAACAAATAATAATTTTTTTAATCGAAATAAAAAGATTTAATAAAAAATAATTAAACAAAACATTTTTTTATTAAAAAAACTAGGAAATTTAAAAAAAAAAGAAGAAATTGGAATTAAGAAAAAGAAAACATTAAAAAACCAAGAATAAAATAAAACTTTTTTTAAGAAAATCAAAATGAAGAACATGAAAAACACAAAAAAAGAAAAAAATAATTTAAAATAAAAAATCGTAAATAGAAAAAATTAGAAAAATAACAAAAAATCATTAAAAAAATAAAAAAATAAAAGGAAAAATAGAAACTGAAATGGCGTGATATGAGAAGATACTAAGGGGATTTGTATATTTAAAAAAATCATTGATTTTCTATAATAATATAATATGGTAACTTTTAGTAATATTAAATTCGGGTATTTTGGATAATTTGAGTCAATTGGGTCTATCACAAATATCAATTAATAAAAATAGATTTATCATTAAGTAAAAAATCAATTAGGGGTCTTTGTCATATAACGCCATATATATAATACTTGCAAGATGTTGTCATAATCAGGAGGGTTTCTTGGTCGCCTTAGAGCGATAACACCCTATCACAGCACAAAACTTCAACACGGAGAGAGAGAGGTGTTATTGGATAGGAGGAGATAATATGATCATTAAATCGAGTAACTAACTCCCTAATTATTAGGATCCTTTAATGGAAAAGATATTATATATTTTTTAATATCAAAATTAAATATACATTATTTTTTTATTAATAAAAAATATTTTGGATTTATTTAAAAAGTGTAAAATGAAATTGGGCTCATTGTAATGACACTTGTGTAATAAGGAGTTTTGTCAAATTTTTGCTATTTATAAACATCTCAACTTTTAAAACTAGGATTTATTGCACCCGACACCCATGTATTCTTTATAACTGTTAA